ACAAATCAAGATTTGGCAACATGTGAGATATGCAGTGTCTCTTTTAGTAATATTCCAACAATCTCATGGTATGAGACACCAGAAATAGGCTTTACACCTTGTACCCATGTTTACATATAGAACCTGAGTCTTCGGCGCGACAAGCAAACACTTTTACCACTAGGCTACCTCACCACCCTGTTTTCCAAATGAACAGAGCTGAAATGATGGTTAGCTACTTTGCTCATGATATGTTCATATTATGTAACACTATTTCCCACAAGACTGTTTCAATACTTGGTCATTACACATTCACACCTTCATGTGAAAAGGGACTTTCTCTCTTTCACAATTAGCACAGACACAACACAAAATGCTCAGTTGTGGTATAAAAATATATGTACAAAAAAAGTGTAGGTTTGTCAGTACCCTTACACTAAACATGTAGATTTTCTCAAAGCTGTATATGAGATTTCTTCCAAAGCACTGACCTTTAAATTACACGCCAGACAATCTGACACTTGAGATTTGATAATTACTGGTGTCTGGACATAGATTAAGTGTAGTAAGTGGAGATGGGATTAGTATTTTCTCAGGGGAATACCCAACATTTAACACATACAAGAATATAATTCACAACACATGCCAGAGTTGAGCGAGTGAGTGAGTGAGTAAACGAGCGAGTTGGGTTTTACACCAGAATATTACAGCAGAATCATATCATGCGACTTCAGAAATGTGACAACACCCAGGGGAAAACCAACGTGAGAGTTCGTTGCGACAAATGAGCATGTTAGAACGTTTGAGATCAGAGTGTATTTGATCAAATAACTAAACAGTAAGTAATTTCTAAGATAGATCATTACCAAGTGGGTGAGAGGATGTGGGTTTTTCCGAACATTTCAGCTATACTATACAGGGCTCGATACAAGGCACTTGATTACCTTGCACCAGGTGCATGTTGACATGAAAACCAAGTTGCACCAAACAAAACCAGGTTGCACCAAACAAAACCAGGTTGCACCAAACAAAACCAAGTTGCACCAAACAAAACCAGGTTGCACCAAACACAACCAAGTTGCACACTTGTCCCATAAATGAATCAGAGCTGAAACAATATCAGGGGGTCTGCTGCCAGTGTCATATACATTAATGACTCATTGCTGTAAAACATAGGAACATGAGCACATTATCTTGAAGTACCCACAGTTTGATCACGTCAAGCCTAAGAAAGCATGACAAATTACGCACAACAGAGCGATTAGTGATGTACTCGGGTAAATAAACTTCAGAGGAATGGAGTGTGTTCAAAGATCAATGTTGTGTGGACAAGTAAGGGTTAGTCAGACATGCACATAAAATCAGGTTGTATTTTTTAATAACAGGTGGCACCGGTGCCTGTTTTATATAGTTAAATCAATCTCTTTTTGTTCGCTGTTATGGCAACCATAGGTTTTAGGGACCAATTCTGCACCCAAATTTGCAAAGGAAAACACAGTCGAACGATATCGAGATAACGTGGCATGAACATTTAAATTGTAAGGCAGTCGGAACCGGGGAACGGGTTTGAGATATTGGTACATAGGACATAAAGGTGGTCGATATAACAAGGTTCGACTGTACATGAATTCTGACAAACTTTTTTAAAATCAGTATGATATTCATTAGGGTTAGGACAAGTACAAATTTACAACCTGGGTATCACCCTACTCTACCCAGGTACCCACTGGAGGTCGCAAAGAGTTTGCAAAAATATATCCGATTGGGAATTGTTTATCCAAAGCTCTTTCAAAATGTATTTAGATATATGTCAAAACGATCTGATCATCCATACACTGAAGTTGACTGAAGCTTTATTTTAATTTAAACATACAAAAGTCACAAGGAATGCATGCAGAGTCAGAAGGAAATGCAAACATTAGTGACCTGGGAGTGTAACCAGGGAGTTATATTGTGAATTTATGTCATGAAACATAAATCACATGACTCACCACGGGTCTGGGTAGTCTTGTGCTACCCGGGTCCCACTGAGAACCCACCCGACCCGAGCGCCTGAGTTACCCGTCCCAGCTCTAATATGCACACAAATATATAGTACCAGAGGTTTATTATCCACACTTCGTATATCATGCTGTAGTGGAGGATTAGTGACATCTACATTGAAAACTGTGTCCAGAAGATAACAGTGTCAGCGTGACACCAACAATGTCAGCATCAAATCAACAATTGTGATTGCAGGTAAGACATACAGTCGCCTCTACCACCATGTGTAATGTCAGTTTGGTTCAGTTTAATCATGTGTTTCTAAACATTCAACAAGTGCATTGTGGGACTGAGTGAACTATGTTTGGTTTGGTTTGGTTTGTTGTTTTACGCCGCACTCAGCAATATTCCAGCTATATGACGGCGGTCTGTAAATAATCGACTCTGGACCAGACAATCCAGTGATTAATATCATGAGCATCGATCCACACAATTGGAATCGATGACATGCATCAACCAAGTCAGCGAGCCTGACCACCCGATCCCGCTAGTCGCCTTTTACGACAAGCATAGTCACCTTGGGTTTCTGAAGACCTATTCTACCCCGGAATCTTCACGGGTAGAGTGAACTATGTAAATGTAGCGGCCATAAAATTTCCGAGTCACGTGATGGGATTCGAACAACGGACCTTCTGATCCGAGGTCGGACGCCTCGTCCATATGACCAAAGAGGTTAACCCCGTCAGCAAGCTGACAAGGTAAGGATGTCATCTGTTGGATGACTCTACGCCCTGCTACATAAACATAGTCATAGTGTTCCATTGCACAAAATATAACTTATGTTTCCACCACTGTTAGCAGACTGTAGCAACTGCAAGCCGTGAAATGGTTGGTTGCACTGTAGGATATTACACAGGTCAATTGCAACTGATGTCAATCAACAGCTCGGGGCGGGATGACCTGTCGGAAATGGCGTCGCTGTGTGACAAAATATGGTAGACGAGGAGCAACAGCAGTAGTGTTGCTTGACTGCAGTATGTTACTAAATGTCTTCCGAAAAGCAGCAGACTGTGTCAGTATGTAAGATGGATTGCTAATTCCTGTGTTCAGTGACAGACATAATTCCTTGGGTAAACTATGCCTAAGGAACAATCTACATCATTCAAAACAGTTTTTGAAAGATTTTGTTTGTTTGTTGTTTAACACCTCACTCAGCATTATTCCAGCTATATGACGCCAGTCTGTAAATAATCAAGTCTTGACAAGACAATCCAGTGATTGACATCATGAGCATCGATCCACGCTATTGGGATGAAATGACATGCATCAAGCAAGTCAACGAGCCTGACCACCAGATCCCGTTAGTCGCCTCTTACAACCAGCATAGTCACCTTTTACTGGATCTTCACATGTTTCGGAAAGAAGTCAAGTCAAGACAGGGCCAAAATCAAAATATTCAATTACTTATTGGTTGACTCAATTAAAAATCCATGTTGATAGTGAAGAGTGGCCAAATGTTACAAATGATAATCCTGATGCTATTTATGATCCAATGGACACAATTGATAGTGAAATTTGCGATTCAGGCAAAACAGGGACAGAAATTTTAAAAGTTACTAACAATCTAAAAAATGGCAAATCACCTGACCCTGATCAGTTGTTAATTACGATGATAAAAAATGCAAGTGTCTAATTCTACCCTTTCTCGATACATATTTTAATCATGTTTTCACCAATTGTGTTTTCACAGAGTCAAAATTCACAATAATTTCTTAACATAAGGATGCCGATACACAGAACCGGATAACATTCGTGATATTTCTTTGTCTAGTGTTTTGGGTAAACTGTTTAGGTCAGTCAACAGACTTACCAGATGGGCTAGTATCAAAGATAAGCTTCCAGAACCACAAGCAGGATTTAGAAAGGGCGATTCTTGTGCTGATCACATATTTACATTATTCAGTATTATTTAAAAGAACTTTTACGTAAAAACAATAATCATATGTAGGATTTGTAGATTTCAAATATGCATTTGATTCAGTTAATCATATTCTATCTACCACTACACAAAGAGATATGAAGACATCCCATTACGGGTCACGTCAGACCAACCATGCACCAACTTTGCCCGACCAATGAAATGACTGACAAGAAGTCGACATTAGCCAATCAGAAGGCAGCTTTCTCATGCATTACGGCACTAATTTCAAATTGGCGACTACGCTTTGAAACATATTTTCACAAATTCTCGATTAAAATTTTTAAACCTGAACAAAAGAACATTCTGGAATGGCTAATAGATGGTCTAGATTGTATGGATTCAGTTGTTAAGCCCGTAACTATAGTTAGGAAGTTTTCTAGGTTGCATGATAGAAATCATGAAAGAAAATGTTTTAGAACTTCTTTGAACAAAGTTTGTTTAACTAACGTATCACCCCAAAAAACAAGTACTGGCTTGGGTCATTGGTTCTGTAAACAGCCTGTTCGATATAACAATTTCAGCACTGTACTCTGACTCACAGAAAACTTCGAAGATTTTTGCCATCAAGTAGTCATACTGCTAACTCTTACTGACTTTAAATGTCAAGTCAAGCATGTTTCCGATAACATGTCCATATATAATCACGATATACATCTTGTGTACAATAAATAAGCCCATATCTGACGCAAGTAAGTTTGATTTTTGGCATCTGAATATTGAACTTAATGCAGCAAGGCCTGGAGCTCTGATATGGAATGCAAAAGCGAAAAAAACATAGTGTGTCCTTATACAAACACTATCAACCAAACAGTTGCCATAATGCACACTCTATACAAGTGGAAATAATCAATAAATCAGATAAATACCCCATGATACGCAGCTGAATCATCTGGATCAGATAAATAGACATCTACACCATAAACGTGTCAAGGGTTTGTTATTATCCCATTATTTTTCACATATAAATGATATCATAACATTTAATATTGTATAATAACATATCTAATTTCATGTAATAAATGAAGCTATCTCCACATCCACCAGTGCTCACCTTGGTCAATAGATAACTTGACCTAGAATGACCTCTCGATTCCCCTGACACCCTGCATTGTTTGGGTTGTATGAAGCATATCACAAGCAATTCCACAGGTCCTTAATCACACAATTCTTCCATGTTTTCACATATTGAAGCAAGTAGACCCATTCAGAAGCCCAATCAATGTTCTGTGGTCAATAGAACTCTTTTGACTGAAAGGAAAGAAATGATGGAGCCGTTTTGATTTACTAGTAAACAGAGTTATGCTGTGTGATTAATTCTACACCAAATTCTCATCATAACTACTCGTGGGCTGTTTGCTAAACACAAATGACAATTACATTTCTCATTTGGCCTTCCCATCACTGATTGATCATTGATGGAGAAAAACAAATATGGCTCTGTTTTGTCAAAACTCCTTCAAATAAATGTTAAGTCAGATATACACAAATAGGAAGATAAACACTTACACAGTGATGTAACTTTACGATCAACCAAAAACGTTTGTCGATATTCTCCACCCTTGTGTCATGTGAAACTGTGTTAACTGAAGGGAAGGGTAGAGTGTAGGAAAACAAGCTATTATCAACACATTTACAATGTAAATATTTACAATATGTCATTAACTTGATCAAACGTAGCTGCACTGATACAGACAGTTATGTTCACGAGATTGGATAGCCTTGTATTTCATTTGACACTAATCATATCACAGTGAGATTCATCACAAGTTATTTGATAATCTTAATAGTTTGGTTTTACTTCCATTATAAGACTTTTTTCATGAAAATAAAACAAGTAGATGAAGTCAAGACATAATTATATTTCTGTCATGATGAACAAGCCATTAACAATTGTGATTGATATACTGTTCAGTGAATTGTTAAATCTTATGTAATATAGATGGACAAAGTGTCCAAGGTTGAGATATATCACTAAGTATTGATACATACGTGAATTTCAGGGTTAGAACTGGACTTCAGCAACCCATGCTTGTCGTAACGGGATCAAGTGGTCAGACTTGCTGGCATGGCTGGTAAATGTCATCATACGCTAGTTGTATATGGAGCAGGGCGTGGAGTCATCCCACAGATGACATCCTTACCTTGCTTGCTGACAGGGTTAACCTCTTTGGTCATGTGGACAAGGCGTCCGACCTGTGATCAGAAGGTCCGTGGTTCGAATCCCATTAGGGGACTCGGAAATTTTATGGCCGCTACATTGGCGCCCAACGTGGGGCTGAGCATGTTCATATTAAATTTGAGCAAAATAAGCCTCAGCACCCTACTATGCGGCCCTGGACGTGCCTTCTGTTGACGGGGGAGTATGTAGCAGGGCGTGGAGTCATCCCACAGATGACATCCTTACCTTGTCAGTTTGCTGACGGGGTTAACCTCTTTAGTCAAGTGGACAAGGCGACCGACCTCTGATCAGAAGGTCCGTGGTTCGAATCCCATCACGGGACTCAGATATTTTATGGCCGCTACATAGACATCGAGGCTTACTATCTCAATCACCAGATTGTCTGGTCCAGGCAACCAACACATAGTTTGAAACTTGCTAAGTGCGGCGTTAAACAACAAACAGTATTGAGGCATGAAACATCTGTGCAACACTGAAGTTCTACATAGTACATGAACCTTGATTAAAAAAGAATGCTACTAGTGAATCAGCCATGACATAGTAATATGAAAGAATCGGGTGTTCTTTAAATTCTTTTGAGTAGTATATCATGAGGGATAGAAATGGACCTTTTTTTTCAAGCATGCCACTGGGCACTGATAAACATGTTTCGACTTGCCGTTTCAAAGTGTGCCAACCAGAAGAATTCTTTTCTGTGAAAAAAGAAGTCTTTTTACGAAATTGGTGCATTCAGCTCATGTACATCTGTTTCCATGTGTGGTCCATTTAATTCTGTGAAGTACATCTCTCACTAGTTTCATATCATAAAAATCATCACAAAGTAATTTTATTAAACAAAGTGTGGCTTCTATGTGTGCCCTTAAAGAAAGGAACATATTTTAACCACACCACAGGGACTTCACATTACACAATCCTGTTCCTACAAGACATTTTTAACCCTGACTATTATCCCATTTACATGTCGAGATTATACACAAATCACTGAATAAATACCTCTACATTGAAAAATTGAAAACTCTAAATTTGCTTTATTTGATCGATCAATCAATAACCTGACAAACTTAAAAATTAAATGCTAAATAATGACTCTTTTAAAAAGTAAGAGACATTATGTAATATCTGTGTTCTGTCAAAAACGTTGCTGTGATCATTACTAGGTTCAAGTAACACATTTGGAGAAACTGACGTCCACTTTCCACTTCACCTGTTCAAAGGCTTGGGGAAAGAAGTTCCCAATATCGCTGATAATTCAATTAACCTGTTTAAATTGGACATGATTTTCAATTACACATCAAAGGAAGTACATATCAATACATGCTACAGTAATGGTTTTAATTCATGACCAAGCTTTTGAGGTCAAGTTTCAACTCAAACCATCCTAACCATGCTATAATGTACTTTCTTGTAACTCAAGGCCTGAACTGTTCTCTGGAACAACTATTTTCTTTCTTCCTGTATTGAAATAAATTCCTATTGAACGCTTTTCAATCAGGGTAATTAAATTTCTAAAGTTTGTTTGATTATTTTCTTGCTTAAGTTTATCAAAAGAAAAAACGACTTGCATTCTCTCTTACATTTGGCAATTCTACCCCATACTGACATCATCTTCTTAATTAAGTGAGAGTGAGTAAGGTTTTACGATGCTTCTAGCAATATTCCAGACACACTGGCATCACACATTGATCTTTATCTATAATATCTTAAACTTATTTGGCAATTCCCAGTTATATTTTATAAGCTAAATATATAAAATTGTAAGGCCACATTCAGAAATCCTAAAGGTTTTTTTCAAAAGTGATCAAAGCAACTTAACTATTGTCATTTGCTTGAAAATCTGTGAAAACGACTGAGAAGGATTACGAAAGCATGCACATAAAATTAGGGATTAAATTTGGGAACCTCAGTTGGAATGAACATACATGAATTTTTTCAATTATTATGGATACCCTACTCTGCCACAGTATGGTCTCCGAGCCTATTAGACTTTTTAGCCCCTTAATGCTGAGCGCCAGGCGGGGTAACTACAAGTACAAACTTTTAACATCTTTTGGTATGATGAGGCCCGGGATCGAACCCCCGACCTTCCGCTCTACAGGTGGGCACTTTACCATTAGTCCACGGAGGTCCACCTTTCAATTATTAGAACGTATAAGGGCCTCAATAATGGAATATTTCGTTCATGATTAAAACCACCCAGCAAACAAGAAACTAATTTTTATGGCAATTATTCGAATGCATGTGGTCATTAATCTCCACCTCATGACATTTCGCGGCTTTTCATCCCCATCACTTCATCAAACGCAATGTGTGTGATAGCTTACGAAATCATTAGCGGACCACCCTTCGCGTCGCTTCTGAACCTGAAGCAACTGACGAGCTCTGACGCCACGTGCAGCACGGACTGCACGTGCATTTCTCAACAGGGGTTATTGTTCCACCTGTAGACAAAATGTCACATTGGGCGAAAACAAATATTACCCGTGTAAAACATCCCAGTAATCCTTGTTAGACAGAACCAATATATTTACCCCAGGTATTTCAAACACTGGCCCTTCGGAATGCCTTGATGAATTCCGCCGACACGTGCGATCACGAAGCAAGATGCTATCTCCCTTCCGACAACTGGAACTTCAAGAGAACCCCAACGGTACCGACAGGTTCAGTTCACGTACGGACACTTTTTGGAAGGGCGCCGAAACGTGGCATGAAAGGGTTACCGTCATGCTTATTCTTAGCGATAATCATTGGATATGCTTTGGAATGCTGCCGACAGTTCGAGTAAATTTCAAGCTGATAGGAATGGCTCTTTAAAACAACGGTAACTAGTTGGGTTCGTTATTTCAGTTCCAATGACCCTTGTTGCAATCAAGATCTTATTTCACAAAGAGAATTTCTTATCCTCCAGCAAATGACTCGAAACGCTGACATATTCCTGTTTACTGCTCTGGTTAACTTTAGCGGCGAATACACTGAAAGAGGTTGAACAACAGATGAAAGATAACAAAACCAGCAGAGGCTGACAGGTGAGGTTACCTGGAGACCATGAAAAAATTAATTCGATCTTTAAGAATTCATTAAGTAAACTCAACTTTTTACTCGCAAATGTCACACACTTTGTTTCGGCAATGGACGATGTCAGCAACACGGAAATGTTATTAAATTTGTTTCATAAATCGATGGTGTGAACAACCTGCGTATTTGTACGATAACCGTTTACTCGGTCATAAACCTGTATGTTATTTGAGGACACAGCTCCAGTCATGCACTCCCTGAAATAATTAAAGCAGCATGAGAATCATGCGATTTTTATAAGCTTTGGCATACAAATCAATCGACAGAATTTGCGGAACTGTACCTGAAGACCTTTTTTTGTACGTCCGCACCATCCACAGAACTGAAATTTGTTATATTCAACTTAATACCTTCATGGCCCCCGTAGAGTGATCTCAGATCTATTAATGTTTGTAACGGAAGTAGTGAGTGAGTATGGTTTTACGCCGCTTTTAACAATATTCCAGCAATATCAGGGCGGGGGACACCGGAAATGGGCTTCACACATTGTACCAACATCGGGAATCGAACCCGGGTCTTCGGCGTGACGAGCGAACGCTTTAACCACTTGGCTACCCGACCGCCCTGTAAGTAACGAGCGTCTTATTACTGAGGTTGCTTTGTAGAACTGGTCTCAGTCTTTGAACTAACATTTGGTCCTAGAAATAAAGTGATAAAATCCACAAAATCAAAATAAAGCTCAGAACAAAGCTTTATTTCAGGCTAGAGCTAAGGCAATCTAGACTTGCCAAGCCGTCTTAGACTTGAGTTGGATTCATTTCTTAATTTATTCTCTAGGGTCTAGTTTTCTGAGGGGGACCGCCTCCATGGTCTAGTGGTTGAGCTTTCGCCCGGAGAGCGGAAGGTCCGGGGTTCGATCCCCGACCGCGTCATACCAAAAAACATTAAAAGATGGTACTTGTTGTTACCTTGTCTGGCGCTCGGCATTAAGGGGCTAAAACAAGGACAGGTCGGCTCGGAGTCAGTATAATGTGTCTGAGTGGGGTATCCATGTTAAACTGCGGCATGGTGTCTCAGTGAGCTAGCACTATAAATCGGCATCAGTCCGAGCAGCCACACACACACACACGTGCATGCACGTCGCTATATAAGTGCAATAATCTTGGACGCGACGCTAAACCCCATTTCACCTCACCTCACCTCCTCCTAATTGGGTTTCATTGTTTGTCAGCTCCATATCCAGGCCGGTCGTAAATGTCCAACACTTCCTCAATTCGAAATGTTCTCGAACATTAAGCTAATGTGACTGAAATACTGTTCAAAGCGGTGTTAAACTCAGATAACTCATAACGCATAAACTCCATTTTTATTTTCAGGCTATCAACATATACACGATGGTACAAAACACATGTGAAATCAACAGTGCCACAGAAGTGGTCTAGTTCGAAGACCAAGATACAACTGCCGACTAAGGCCAGCACCTGACTTCGCCACTTCCTTCGCGTCAACGCTAATTCGTCAGTAGAACATGCGCTGGATTCAACCCATCCCACTTCGGTTCTTCATTCGATTGCATTAAAGTAATCCTACCAAAGCAATATAACTTAGAATGCTCGGATGTGATATTTATCCTAGATTTTTAAGCTTTTCTGTCTAAATGCATTATGCAAGCAGGAACTTCCTGCACGCCGATCATCGCCACGACAAACCCAACTTTGCTTTTTTTGTGAAACGAACGGTACAAAAAGTAAGGTTTGAGTACGTCAATCGCGGCATCATATCCAGTTGGTGAAACCGGTATAATGGACTGGAATACCATTAGTGTTGAGATGACACTTGCCCTGGCGAAAATGTTGGCCCTCCGCAGTGTGTTGTACCGCCGAGATTAACCCCAGATCAACTAAAAGCGTTGCCATTTACCTTTCTTCTTTGTTCTGCAATTTATAATACAGCATACGTTTATATCACAGAAATGTTCAATCTCTTTCA